CGCTCCAGGTCCCGAGGAAGAAGGTATTCTCGCTCACGCAGTCGAAGCCGTGGTAGGAGGTAAGATTTCAAGTGCAGCGGCCTTGCTATTTATTTTACTATTTTTAGTTTTCCCTTCAATTTGGGAAGGATACCCCTTTGCATCCTTTGTGAAAAATACCTTTTGATAGTTTGTGTTCTGTTTTTTTTTTTGTAGGTCAAGGTCAGCTTCCTACCGCAGGTCCAGGTCAATCTCTCCTCGTAGGTATAGATCATTTTCACCTCGCAGATCACGGTCTGGCTCTTTAAGGAGATCAAGGTATGTGATGCTGTGAGCTCACAATGCTGCTGAAAGAATGCTTCAAGAGATGTAATGGCTGGAATTAGTGCTTACATTTTTTCCTGTCTGTAGTGCTGATAGCCTCATGGAGTGAAACGCCAGAGCTCATGTGAACGTTGACTTTGAAGTTAAAAACCTGTAGTTGTAAATTCAAAACTGCCATTTCTGATGTTTTTCACACTGCATTGAAATTAAGGTTGTGATTTTGGTATCTGGCTAAGGCTTTCTACTTTGTCTTAAGTGATACAGAGAGTAATGATGTCTAGTTAACTGTGGCAGTGGGATTTCATACGTGGGTGATATTTCTGGCAGAATCTACTGCTGCTTTCTAGCAATATTGTCAGTTTTGAACCATAGAATGGCCTGCAGGGCTTGAAAAGGACCACAATGATCATCTAGTTTTAACCCCCCTGCTGTGCGCAGGGTCCAGACACCAGACACAAGACCAGGCTGTCCAGAGCCACAGCCAGCCTGGCTTTAAATGCCTCCAGGGATGGGGCATTCATTGTTCTTCCATAGGCATCCATTGTTTTTCCATCTTTGGCCTTATCTATACTAAGGAAATATATTACCTTATTTGAGTCCCAGTACCTTTTGTAGCTGACAGTAACTTGAAGAAGCATTTTAAGTAACTTCAGCTATTTGTGTTGCACTGATGACTTCAGAGAACTGTGCTGAAGGATCTCAGCTGCACAACTCACACACCAGAGCTGATCTCTCGCTGCTCTTTTTTTAGATCTAGGTCCAGATCACGCTCAAGGTCTCGGTCTGTTGTATGGCCTCGAAGCAGGTAAAGTGCTTGTTCTAATTTCTTATGACAGCAGTTGAAGAGTGCTCTCCCTCTACCCCTTTATTTTTTCTTTTTGTTCCATGGAAGGGATTAGAAGGTTGTGCAGCATAGCAGTGTTTGCACTTCTCATACATCTTTCTAGAGACCATAACATTCATGTGTGTCTCGTAATTCATAAGTTTGCTTTATTCTGTGGCTGCATGTATATATGCTTACAGCCATAAGCAAAATATATCTGCAATTATGTTCTGTGGGGAGAGGTTTAGAAAGCTGTTGGTTATGCTTGAACTTGCAGGAAATGTTGCATAGTTTTTTTCTTGTTGTATTTTTTAAATCCTAAATGCTGAATATAAGCAGTGACAGGATTCATACTATGAACTCAGCTCTTGCTTACCACTTACCATTACTGTAGAATGGGTGAAGAGGTGAGACAGGCTTTGTTAGGGGACTGGCTGCATGCTGATTCTTTAAGGGATGGTGGTGGTTGCTTACTCCTAGAGCTGTCCTGACACAGCGCTCCTACATGCTAGTGATGCAGAAAATTTCCAGCCAAGTGCAGCTTGCAGGCTGCTGTAGATAGGGATGCTGCCGTGTTGCTTGGTAACTTCTGCTTCTGGAGTGGTCCAGTTCTTGCACAGGAGATGCTCGACACTTTCTGAAATGCTGATTTCACATGCGTGCAACTGCAGCGGTGAACAGTGGTGTAGTTACAGACTAGAATTACAGAACCGTTGTGGAAAGGGTAAATTGTCCTACTTCTAAAGCCTCCGATTGGCACTAATCATGTTGATGTGCCTCTTGCAGTGAGGTTGTGCTCATGCTACAAAATACATGTTCTGGGTAGACGTGAAGAACTGTTGTGTGGATCCTGGAGGCAATAAGAAAACTGGTTACAGCGTTAGCTACTGATACAGATGACGGCTCAGTGTAACGACCAGGAATGGTTAAAAGCAATTGCACTGAACTGTTTTAACTTGGCTAACAGCATCTGCACAGCATTTCAGTAAAATAATAGGCAAGATAACAGCAGCTGTAAACAGTTGCAGGCAAAAACCAAGGAAATTGTCTTTTTGAAGAGTCAGAATTCAGCAATGTGATATTACAGAATATCAGAAAGCTTCACATTCCATTCTTCAAAAAGAAACAGCCAAAAGAGCATCATAATGCTATAAAGTGATGGAAAGTACAGCAGTAATAGCTGAGTGGCACAATCCGAAGCTGCAGCAAAAAAAGCCCAAATGCAGCAGCTGTAGACACAGAAATGAAGGAAGAAAATCTACTTACCTCTGGAATATCTCTGGCAGGTAGGGATCTCCAGTGAGATCTCCTCCCTTCCACTGCCAGCCCTTAAATGAGGTCTGGGAAGGGCTGGATCCTGGCTCCTCCCTTTCCAGTCAATGAGGTACATTGCATGCAGCTGAACTCCCCTGGGTTGGCCCTGCCTTCCCACCAGGTGCTCAATCACTGCTTCAAGCTGTGACAGCATTTCTGTTGCACGTATGAAAATTACATCCTAAGTAGCACAGCAAATCCTTGAATATGTATGTTAACATGCAAAATGCATGAGGAAAGTTTGAGTTATATTTCAAGCCATAAGATGACCCAAGAATAGTTTACAAATTATGAAGTCTTTGTAGCCATGTATGTAATGCAACTGAAATGCTATTCTGATTGGGATAGCAAACAAAAACTGTTTAATTTACGTGAATGAAAGTGGCATTGAGAACTGAAGAATGCATCAGCTCTTACATGGCTGAATGTTTAATTAAAATCTTGTCTTAAATGACACTTGTAAGTATTCTTCCATTTGTGAAAAGGACAGGGGGGTGGGTGGGGCTCCTATTTTGTAGAAGTGGTCGCCAAAGCTTTGCTGGGGAGCTTCTTGGGTGTGTTCTGTTGCTTCCTGACAAGCGGAGTCTCTGCAGTAAGAGCTAAAGGATTCTTCAGCAATGTCACGAAGAACAGCTTCCAGCCCAGAGCGGAGCATTCCTCTCTGGTTCATGATGCTACGTAGTGTGAAATTGCTGTTGCTGGTTAAGCTAACCTTCGTTGTATGTGCATGCCACTGGCTGCTTTGCTGAGCTTTATTTTTCTCCTATTGTAGGTCTGGGTCCCATGGTAGATCTAAATCTGGCTTACCTGCTAAAAGGTGAGCGTATAAACACAACTAGCACTCAGTAATTTTTTTTGGACATGATTCCAAATATTTTTGGACCAGTATCTCAGTTGCATGTAGAAGAGCCTCTTTAATTACTGTTTTTTAATCATATTTTAAATATATTTTTTTAAAATTACTTTTATTTTCTATAACTGATTTTCGTGGGTCGGTCCGCAGTTCTTCCAGAAGGATTGTTGGTTCTAGCAAGCTCTTGTCTAACCCATGACTATGATGCTAAAGTATTTTGGCAGGATTTGGGGCACCTCTTGCTCCCTCGCTGTTCTCAGTCCTGTCTTTTCTTCACTTGTTTCACTACCCTGTTGTCACTTTATAGCTGCTTCAAAGCTATGGCAACTTTCTACTGAGGGCTTCAGCTTTCAGCAGTTTTCTCTCTCAATTGCAGCTTCTTGCTTAAAGCAAGTCTCTAAATTGGGCGTACTTGCTATCAACAGCCTTAAGGGTGGTGTCTGTTGTACACAAAAAATATCAGAGTTCTTACTGCTCTAAATTGGTCAGAAGTGTTGAGTGCATGGAAGTTACTATGTGAAGAGTCACATTGCTTTTTCTTTCTTTTGCAGTCGCTCAAAGTCCAGATCACCATCTCCAAAGAGAAGGTAGGAAAAAAAAAGTAGAGTACACCATCTGATTACATTGAACTAATTGGTGGCTGTAGTGGTTGCTATGTAGGTTAACTTCAGAAAAAAAAAACAAAACATGAACTTTCCTCATGAACTCTAAAACCTGAATTTGCATGGGTGTTTTCTTCTAAAAGTCACAAGTTTATAACAAGGCTGTTTCTAGAAAAGAACTCTAGTGTAGGTGTCCTGTGTCCACTTACTGTTGTTAGTTGGAATCCTCTAAGGTAACCTACTTCAGTGAAACTTGGAAAGGACAGTAGAAAAGGCAGGAAAATGTAGCAAGTAACAGAGGAAACAGAATGGTTCTGAGCACAGCTGGAAAGGAGGTGATGAAGTAGGAAGGAAACCACCAGTATTTGGCAGGATTCAATTCTTGGTGAATCTTCACAGTTGGCTCTTAACTCAGGTTAAGAGCACAGCACAGCTGCACGTTGAAGTAAGAAAGAAGCAAATTCCTCTGCAAAACCAGGGATGAAGACAGTGGACTTTTAGTAGCCTGACCTGCAGCCTCACGGCTAGCTCCAAACTGGAGATGTGTAAATTATAGCCCACTTCACCTTAGCAGATGAGAATCCATCTGTGCATGGCTGGAGCCTCACAGGTGCTCTTCTTGAGCATGCTTCTTGTTTTACCCTAGGTATCATAGCCAGCTCTCATTTTAACTGGCCCTTTCATGTTTCAAGTTGCAATTTACTTGATGTAAAACCGAACATTTCTAACCCCCCTGAGCTGCAAATGAAAACTCTGGATAGAGGCAATCTGGGGGACTGGTTTCCAAACAAAGGAAACCTGGGGCAGCATGCACATTTTCAGCTGCTTTGGCTGTAAGAGTCATCCTTACTCCTTTTTGTTTCTCTTTCAGTCATTCACCATCAGGAAGCCCTTGAAGGAGGAATGCATGTCCTGAAAAAGTGGATTCCAGTTAAAAGGTTAAAGTTTAAGAAGAAGATTTATTTTGTTTACATTATTATAAGGGATTTTGTGGTGTCTTTATAAACGCAAGGGCTTAGTCCTAGAAGGTTGTTTCTATTGCCTAACAGCAGGCATGAATTTGGATCTTTTAAAAGTAGACTAATGCAAAACTCCTTTGTTGTGTTAATGTTCAGTGATCTGGAAATATAGGGCTTTTTGTATTTGGTGCATTGGAATAAACAGTGCATTTCTAACTAAGAGATACTTTGCTCTAACCCTGCTGTTCATTACTTGTTGGATGACTAAAGCAGCTCACTGAGCTGACTCCCAGGAGGCTGAGCATGGAAACACAAGGAATACAAGACTTGTGGTTTTTCTTGGCTCTTGATTAAAGGACCAATGAACTCAAGGTACTTGGAATAATTTGGGGATGTAATCCATTGAAGTAACTGACTTTAGAATTCTCATTTTGTATTCCAGTTGTCCAAACAGTTCAAAATCCAAACTACAATTTTGGAGGGAAGGATTGATGTTTATAAGGTGGAAGAGCCAGTGCTGAAAAAAATGCATCTGGGTAGTCCTTCTAGGAGGAAAAACAGCTTTTCTTACAGACATCTTTGCTCCTCTGCCAAGAATTGGTTGAGGGGCAGCTCCCTGGAAGTGGTGGAACAGAAGTGTTCCCTGTGAAACCGGGAGCACTGCTGGAAGGGGCGAGACGTGCTTCCCAGTCACTTAACACCAGCACTGCTGCTTTGTTCACAGTCAGTCACCTGGATTTCATATGGTCATGTCCTGGTTAGATATGGACTCCAGAGGAAACTCAGATGCAGCTCAGTAGTAGTGTGGAGAGCTTGTCCTGTGCTTTGGCGGGTGCGTGGCAGCTGGGCTCTGGCTTTTCCTCCTCCAATCACCTGAGCCATTAGAATGGCTTTCCAGCCCTTGGAGTGCTGTAGCTGGTAAAAACTGGTACTATGAAAATAGAGATGTTGCACAGAAGGGCAATGGTTACCAGCATAAAAGCATAAATGGTTACCTGAGATGCATATAGTGGTGTTTAAAAGGTATTATGCTGTGTACGAACGCCCCAGATCTCTGTAAAAGTTAAAAAAAAAAAAAAAAAAAAAAAAAAAAAAAAAGAAAAACCCCACAACAAAACCCATAAACTGAGATTATACTTTAACAAAAGAAGTCACAGTTATACTGCATAAAGGCTTTAGCATGTCCCCGCATCAGCCCAATGCGGCCACCTTCTGCTAAAGGAAGTAATAAGTGCCCCATAAAACAGGTTAGTGCTTCTGGGGAGCTGTCAGGCTGTGAGAAGGAGGGAGGCACTACCACATCAAACCCCTCCTGAAGTAAGGTGGCACAGCAGCCCAGGAGGTGTTTTAGAGGAATGATAAAGGAAACACGGGCATTACCTGCCTTCAGCTCCTGACTGCATGGATGTGTGTTATTACTGCCCCTGGCCTCCTTTGTTCTACCACCACACAAGGCACGAGGATGTTCCATGAGTGCTCCCTACTACATTCAGAAGTAGGATGCTTCTGAACATAGCCTGTAGCAGCCCCTGCTGCTCTTGTCCCCTGAATTTAGCATGAGAGGGAGAGAAAAGAATCCCGCAGGACTTCCTTGAGTGCTACTTTCCATCCAAAGCACTACACTCCTTGATGGTTGCAAAATGCTTTTATTGAAGAGGGATACCATTTTGAAAGTCCAAAAGTCCAAAGTGAGAAATGGGATCTGTTCCTATTGCACTCTGCAGCCAACCTACGCGTAGCTGCTGTTCGTTGATGCTGAACAGGAGCGACTGGCAGCTGTACACAGAACCAGCATCACTTGTGATGGTGCCACCTCATACAGCTAAGGGCTGCACACTGCCTTGACAACACACAGAAAACTTCTCCGAAGCGCTACAGAGTTCCCACAAGAGTAGTTGGCTTTAAGCAGCTCTTTGCCAGACCTCAGAAAAACCAAGTAGCAAAGTCCAGGTATGCAGCTACAGAAGATGGTGCTACTGTTGATGTGTTCTCTTGCTGGCATCAACAAGGTGTGGGGCAGAGGTACAGGAGAGTCTTCTGCAACTCAGCATAGTGCAGAACCTGTCCTACTGTAGCAGTAGTCAGCCTTAGCACAGTTTATGCTCTTTTTTTCACCACTTCTGCACATATTTAACTAGAGAAATGCTTGCCTCTCTGCTCCTTCCTCAGCTTGAAGGCTGCTTGTAGGCACGTCTGGTGGTAGAGATGGTGTTTGCTGTTTTTCTACCACAGACAACAGCAAAATCAGCTACTACCATTTGCAACTGCCATTACATCGAGCAGTTCCAGTTCTGAAACCCTAAACATCACAAACCAGCAGTGTGATAAAGGAAGTAGTACTATTTCATTACTGTAGTCTTCACGCGTGTCTGTTAACAGTGCTTCCCCAGAGCAAGACTGGTGAAAATTCCCTCCCCTCCTCCAAAGCCAGTGATACAACGGTGGCAGGAGGAATACCACCCCTGAGAAGCATTTAACAACCAGCACTACGTTCCAGTGAAGTAATTTTTCAGGGGGCTACAGCAGTCCCCTCCCCCCTTTCTGCTGTGTTCCACAGTTCAGGAGGCCTGAAAAACCCTTCTTTCAGGGGAAATAGCCACCTTTTCCTGCAGCAATACATTTAAGCCACAGCATTCTGTGCTGATCCAGGAATTTAGTCCGACTGGACTCTTAGACTGAGTCTCCCTTTTTAAGGGCTTTGGGTTAAAGACCAATCGCCTCAGTGAAATCTCGCTCAAAATGTAGAATCGAGTTTGAACCAATTTAAGAGCAGATGCTTTCAGACATTATTATTAGAAGCAGCAGCTGTGTAGCAGTTCTGTGACCATAACCCCTTTCTGCCAATGTACTGTTTCACAGAAAAATGTGCTCTTATAGTTGGTTTCTACTCCTCCTGCAAAATTTGCCATTTTCCTGTGTCCTACTGTAAGGCATGCTGTTAGCAACAGGCAAGCTCTCTGCAAACTGTCAAAATCAAAACCCACACCAGCCGACAGCATCACTGCCAGCCTGGTGTTCCAGAGATCAGCCCCATATTCTCAGATAACAAATACATAAAGACACTGATGTTACCTGGTCTATTATCAGGCTCTAACGACGCAGGCTGCGTCTTTACAGAAAGCCACTGACGCCTTACTGTGTGGTCACAAGCTTTACGATCATACCGATGATGCGAGACCCACGAGGGCACATGCATAAATCCATGCTGGGATTCTTGATCTTATCCTGCAGCAACTGGTCGAGTTCACAGCGCAGCTCTTTCACCAGCTCAGCCACCTGGCACGCACAGCACAACACACAGGTGAGCGCAAAGCTCCTGAAACGCACCTCCCCGTCTCAAACACACAGAGCTCTGCCCTTGCGGGAGCTCTGCAGCACACCCAGCATGATCCCTTCCCCTTACCTGGTGAGAGGCTGCCACAAACCGTATCCACCCGTCATCGAGGGAAATGACAAACTCTCCCTTCTGCAGCTGCATGTGAACCTGCCCGCCTCCCAGCAGCACCAGCGGGTACACTGACACCATGCTGCAGTCTCGAATGAACACGCGGCTGGTCTTGATCTTCTCGTGGTACACCAGGTAGGGGCTCTCAAAGTGCCTGGTCTGCAATGGCAGAGCCCAAAAGACTGCGGTTAAAGAACATGTGTACTGCCTTCCTTACAGCATCACTTGTACTGCAGCCCGCTCGGGCAAATACGGGATTGCCTGCAAGAGCTGCAAGGAACAGCAAATGTGCCCACACATTTCACAGACTCTTCAGGCCACGACAGCTGCCCTCAACTTCGTGAGTTAGCCCTGCTCCCACACACTGCAGTAAGCTTGTCACAAATCAGCTGATTGCCAACCACACCTCAAGGGCCACAGCTCTTTTTCACACTACAGAGATCTCATGTGCTCTTATAAAAGAAAGTGGCTGAAAAGTCTTTAAAACCTCGTTTTGCAGTTAATGATAAGAGCCCCACGCTTTAAGCAAGTGATTTATAACCTGGAAAAACAGAATCATCAAATATGGAGGCAGACCTCATTAGACAATACTACCATCTTTCGAGGTAAGGAGAAGAGCTCTTATCTAAAAATGACTATTAAGACACAAGGGAAACTATTGAGTTTTGAGGACCCATGAAGAAACAAATCAGATTATTTACCAATACATAATACCTCAGCCTCAGGTTGGGTGACCTGCATGTACAAAAACACTGCATGCATGCTACCTTAATAGCAAGGAGAAGCTGGGGAGTGCCACAACCGCATTTTTGTGTGCAGCTTTGTGGACACAGCGAAACATTGATGGGGGGAGCCTCCTTGTCTTCTAATTCTACTCCAGAGGATGAAGTTTAATTCTGTGCTTAAGAGCAATACACCCTTATTTATCAACAGGGAGACAATCATTAAGCATTTTTTTCTTAAGCTTCAAAAGGGTCCCTCACTTCTCATCTGTTCAAGGAAAGGCGATTTTTGTTTTAATAAAACAGTTTGTCTAAAGGGAAAAAATAAAAATAAAAACCCTGACCTGATAATTCACAGATGAAGGGTGAATGTGAACATAACCATCATTTTTTGTAACAAACTTCAGCTCTTCTGCTTTTGGTTGCATTTTGACAGCTCCTGTACTGGTCTTCTGATATTTGCCTTCTGGCTTCTTAACCTATATGGTGCAAGACAAAAAGTTACAAAAATCTGCTGTACCAGAATTATGAATTCACTTTCAGAAGTTCTGTTTTATCAATAACAGATTCTCAGGCAGTAAACAAGTCACTAAAGACAGATGCTATACTGCAGGTACTGTCTAAACACTGACATTTCATTGGTAACCACTGTCTTCTAAAAAGTTGTAATTTACAGTAGGTTCTTAAAAAGATTCGCTGCTGGCATTTATGTGGCACTAAAAAACCGCAGGACCGGCAGTGGCATCAAACAGGAGTTGGGCAACCTGGCTCTGGCACAAGCAGCTTTGGAAACCTAAAGCAGGCTGTGGTCCACCACAGTCAGGCCATGCTGCAGCTGGCAGTGTGGACACGCCATGTAACCGCTGCGTAGCAGCATTTCTAACAACGCATCAACTTCAAAGAGTGAAAAAGCATTCTTTTACCTGGACAACGTTGGGATACAGCGCAGCACACAACATAGCCGAGATCAGCTTGATGTTCTCCGCATTTGAATTCGCCTGCGAAATTCATGAACACGTTAGGCATCCTGCAGGTAGGTCAAAAGACAAAGCCCT